TTGACTGCTATCCAGAAGCCTGGTGGTTTAAACCCACCAGCCACTCCTTGGAAGGAAGGTTGGGCAATCTACTTCCATAGTGATACCGCCTCAGAAACCCAAGAAGGGGTCGCTATGAGTTGGGTCCAACTCGATGGCACATAACAACAACAACAACAACAACATTTGGTATATACATATGTATATTTGGTATATATTTTTTTCCTGAGGCATTTGAAAGTAAATTGCAGACATGATGTGCCTTTATCTTCATAAGCAACTACATTCTCTTACATAATCATAGTGCATAAACAGTGTTGTCATCTAAATCAGGAAATTAACATTGATACAAAGCCATTTGCTAATCTAAAGAATTTATTCATATATTACCAAATGTCCTTTATAGAAAAATAGGAAAAAAAAAAGAAAGAAAAATAAAAAGGTTTGGGGCAAGAATCCAATCCAGAATCACACACTCCTTTAATCTAGAGCACTCCTCATTGTTTGTCTTTCACATCATGACATTTTTGAAGAATGCAGGTTACTTGTAGAATGTTTTTCAACTTGGGCTCGTCTGATATTTCTGCACAACTAGTTTAAGATCTGTTAGCATTTTCCAGCATTCCAGAAATATGGCTTTTTTCCCCAGACTGTTTAAATATTCCAGGTCTGTGATCTCTTTACTGAATGTGAAAATGAGAAATCTGTGACACATTTCAGGTGACTAAATGGTTTAGAAAATTCATTTCATTAAATTTTCAGACTTTTAAAAGTCATGAAGCGGAGTGACCAATATGGCAGCATTGAGGATGAGAAAGACATAGAGAGGTACATGGGAAGTACAGACCACAAATATGAACCCTTTGGCATATACAGTACTGAGTTGTCAGTAAAGGCAAACATGGGCATATGGATGGATAGATAGGTGGACAGGCTAAACAATTGTTGTTGTTGTTGTTATGTGCCATCGAGTTGGACCCGACTCATAGCGACCCCTCCTTGGGTTTCTGAGGCAGTATCATTACGGAAGTAGATTGTCCCACCTTCCTTCCGAGGAGTGGCTGATGGGTTTGAACCGCCAGCCTTCTGGTTAGCAGTTAAGTGCCTTAGGCACTATGCTACCAGAGCTCCTGGCTAAACAATTAGGTATGTCTAAATGGGGAGTGTATCCAAGATCATATA